TACACCATAGGCTATAATACTCCACTGGGGCCTGTGTGTCACTTCATGATCAAATAAGGACGTATTTCTGCAGTGAAATGCACTTAGAGGAATAAAGGTTATTGACAACCTCTGGTCAGGCTAGGGAAAACTTGGTTTGCAGAGGTTTTTGGGTTTTAGAATAGTGGATAAAGGATTACAGACCTGTATCTTATGATCATGCTTTCAAGATACTCAAAAACAAGTTGATTAACTGTGTGATCTTGTTTAATATTTTGCACTTGAACATTACAGGATGTCTATCATAAAATAATTTTTGTTTAGGCACAATTGATAAAGAGCTACATTTTAGACTCAATTGGACAATAGTGTTTTAGTTTCTCCTGGAGGCCCCCTGTGGTTTTTGAGACTAAAGTCATGACGTCATGGAAGACAGAAATATTGCTGTGCAGTTTGTCACAGCAGAGGGTGTGCCCTCACATCACACACCATCTTACTTGTTTTTTACACAAACTGCTAGATTGAGAGACCCAGACTGGTAATGTCCTGGACCGAAGCCAGGGACCAAAGATTCTTTTTTTTTTTTTTTTTTTTTGTGTGTGTGTGTGTGTGTGTGTGTGTATGTGTCGGGTGTTTGGGGACTGAACTCAGGGGCACTCAGCCACTGAGTCACATCCCCACCCCTATTTTGTATTTTATTTAGAGACAGGGTCTCACTGAGTTGCTTAGCACCTCAGGTTCCTGAGGCTGGCTTTGAACCCAGGATTCTCCTATTTCAACCTTCCAAGCCGCTGGGATTACAGGTATGTGCCACCGCACCCAGAAAGACTCTTGATTAAAGGGGCGGGGGCAGGCATAATCACATTTTTCTATCTATTCAACAGTTATATTTGAGCACCTACCCTGGCAAATATCACAAACTCTTTTGTGTAGAGCAGTTTGTTGTTTATACAGTGCTTCATGCGCATTGCTTCTTTTGATAACCCTACAAAGAAAGCGAAGTAATATTTTCATCCTTGTTTTATTGGCAAAGAAGCAAAGGCTTACAGAAGTTGAGTGTCATTTGAAGGCATAGAAGTAGCTGCCTTGAGACAGAAACCCAATTATCTTCTTTTTTCTATGCCACCAGGAATAAAGGTTTGCACTTTATTAAAATAGGTGTGTGTGGTTTTAGCGGATTCAGTGCTAGCCATCAAATAGGATTAAGTCATTTTTTATAAAAGTTCTTCTATATCCTGTTTCTGAATAAGGTAGCTAATCAGGTACTTCAAAGCATGAAGGGTTACCATGTACCGCATCCATCAGATCCCCCTCCAGGAATAAAGGACTTATTCTTTTAATGGTTGGAAGGTTGTTGGCTGATGTCTTTCTCCGGGAATTTCTCTCTGGTGGAGAGGAAGTCTTCTTGCCCAAGGCCAACCCACACCCAATGGCTGGAGCTGGTGAGGTGAAGAAGCCCTTTGCCTGTACTGAGACAACTCCGAAGGGCCAGTCCCAATTCAGACAGCCCAGAAGCGATGGCTGAGTCCACCCTTTGGCCCCACTGCAAACCAGTTTCTCTCTCCACCCATTCCCAATTCTGCAGTCTGGCTGGGCACAATTCAGAAGCCACTTGTCAAAAGAAACTAACTTTATTTTTAGAACCACACACACCAAACAAAACAGCTCCTCAGGAAAAAACCCTCAGAGCCCAACTGCCACCACCGGCTTC